CGACGCTCGGTCGAGACTTCTTTTCGTATACGTCTCTCGCCTGCCTGCGTCTGTATACGTTGCAATTTTTTCGCTCCTTCCCAAAGCGTTTGTTCTCCTTGTCTGTTTGCTGGCAGCGAGTCCGGAGCACACGCGGCGCTTGTAAACATTCAGACACGAGATTTTTCCCAATCAAAATCCACTTCCACTTTTTTTTTTTTTTTTTGAAAATCTTCCAAAAAATAGTACGAGAGGGAGCGAGAGGAGGGGAATTCCTCTCCCTCCTAGACACACAAAACCACGCTCCGATCTCGCTTTTCGCTCGCCTCTCGTCTCCCTACATGCAAGTACAAGTTTCTGCAGAGCAGGAGTTCGGGGGCTGAGGAGGAGGGAAGCGAAGGGAGGGGGACGCGATACCGCCGGCGAGAGCAGGCGGTTGATTGGGGGGAAGGAGAGCTAATTGTGGCGGTGCGAGAGGAGAAAAGCGGAGCCCGAGAACTCCGGCCAAACACAGACGCCGCGTCTGTCCCTCGGCTGCCCTTTCGCCGTGCAGGGCTCGGGGGGGGGGGGGGGAGAGAGAGAGAGAAAGAGAAAGGAGCGGGACACGCACAGAGGAGTGGGGGGTGGGCGATCTCCCACCAGCACCACCCCGGTCTCGCCAGTGGAGACAAAAGAAGCCGCGAAAAAGGTCCCCTTTTGCACATTTTTAGTGCCTAGAGGAGAAAAATAATAATAAAGGGGGATTGGACGAAGGCAGGAAAAGCAGATTGGAAGGAGGGGGGTGTCTGCATCCAACTGCGAGCCCCAAGATCTCCTGATCTAGATTTCTCTCGTTCCTCGCCTCGTGTGAAGAGAGTCTTACTCCCGTTAAAAACACGCGCATTTCTTTTTTGCACACACATGAGCCCCCCCCCCCCCCCGCGCTCATCGTCACACTTTTTCTCGCTCTGTCGCCCACCTCGCTTGCTTCTTTTAAGTTGCAATTCTTTTGCAAGCTGCAGACACACACACACACGCACATACACACAGAGGCACGCTCTCGCGCTCTCTTCCGGCACAAAATCTTATAAGAGAATCAATGGAGGGGGGGGGGGGCTGTCGGAGAATTAAATGGAACTTTGAGCGAGCGGACGAATGCCGAAGGAGATGGTGTGAAAAGTAAGCGAGGGGCTTACTCTTGCCGGGGGGCGGGGGGCTGAAACTGACTTTACGGTGAGTTGCTGTTTTTCCATTTCCAAAACTAAAAAAAATAAATAAAAATGAAAATACATGCACACAAAAAATACTTAAAATGAGCCGGATTCAGACGGTGCCAAAAAAAGATAAAAAATGCATATATATTGCAAGGGATGGGGGGAAATTAGGCAGGCAAGGAGGTTTACTTACGTGAAAATTCCCGTTTGCTTAAGTGCTGGGGTTTCCCTTGCTTGCGGCGCGACATGGTGGTGGCGGCTGCTCGGGCGGGCGCGCGGCGAGCTCTCTTGCACGGATCACATCGGGAAGCGCCGGGTTAGAAAGGAAGGAGACTCCCGAGAAAATATCTTCATCAATGTCTTTTGACATCCAAAATAAATTAGAAATAATATAAAGATGGCGCGGGGAAGATGAATTGTGGGATAGCAGTCATGGCTTTGCTTTTCTTTTTTTTTCTTTTCCTTTTTTTTCCTTTCTGTGCAAGAGAGGAAGAGAGAGAGAGAGAGAGGGGAAAAAAGGAGAGAGAGAGAGAAAGGAGAGAGAGAGGGAGAGAAAGAGAGAGAGAGAGATGAAAAAAATGGCAAAAGCCCCCCTGAGCTACAAGTTCAAGTGCGGACGTGACGTCCCTACGAACTTGAACGTCAAGCGACTGGCTGGACACAGACATACAAAACATGGGCAGGGCGAAACTGGAGAAAGGGGGTGGAGGGAAGGAGTGCGCCACGCCAATGGACAGTCATCAGGGGCTGGACATGATCTCGCAAAGAGTCTGGGGGGGGGAGCCCATCGGAGGGCAAGCCAATGGCCAGTGGTGGGGGGGAGAGGGAGGGGGAGAGGGGGGTACCC